AGATATAAATAGATCTTTTATTTTATTAGGTTAGATGCAAAATAGTTGATTGTATCTTATAATTTTGTTTCATTGCATATTAGTATATTTTTTAACTCAATATATAACTTATGATTTTTCTATTTAATATCATATATTAAAATTGTCATACTTCAATTCTTATACTACAAAATACCAAATAATAATTATTAACCATCTTTAATTATAAGTACTAAACTCCCACGCGTTGCGTGGGCTTTTCCTCCTAGTAGTAATAATAAGTACAAGTCTTTTTGCATTTTCATAGTACATGTGTTTCCTCAACTAAAAATTTAGCAACATTGGAAATCAAATATAATATATATGTATATATACACACACACAAAACAAGTAAAAGAAGAAATGAGGAAAAAGAGAATTCATGAAAATATAAATTTACAATAAGACCAAAGAAATTTAATAAATAAAAAATGTTAAAAGTTATATATGAAAAATAGCAAGGTTGCATTTGAATTGAGAGATTTAACAAAATATTTGAAGTCTTTTCAAATTCCTCTAATTGTTTATATTATTTATAAGATATTTGAATATGCAAATTATCAATTATTATAGTGTTTAAAATGTATTTTAATAATTTATGAATTACAAATTATAATATTTCTTAAATAGTATAAACAACAAGAGCAATTTGGGTGATAGGTTGCAATTTTATCATTTATTTTATTATTAATTTTTCCTATTACTTAACCCAATGTGAATTAATTATTAGATTCTACTCACTTTTAGTATTTTACATATATTTCAGGGAGTAGAACGAAAATACCATAATAAGTGCCGATTTGACAGTTATCAGGAAAGAGTTCAAGTAGCAGGCATCCAGGGCATTTTTGGAACAAGGAGATACAAGTCCTTTTTAGTAATTCGCAGAGCGCAGCATTAAAAGGAGGAACGAAGGGCTGAAGTGGGAGTCTTCTTCTTCCTCTCCGGAAGGGGGCCGCCGCGCAAGGAGAGCAGTTCTTGAGCATCAGATCTTCACTTTTCCCTGGGAGACAGTGGATGAGGCAGCCGGCTTCATGCTTAGTTTTTCGTCTTTAGCTTAGCACAAATTGTTGACTTTTCCTTGAAGTTTTACCTTTTGCTTTTGGGACTTACGAATGTCAGGAGCTTAGCCATTGCTGGCTTTGACTTTTCCTCTCTAAATGCTGGTTTCTTTTCCTTTGTGCGTGAGACGAAGCGAAACTATGAATTGCCTTTCGTAGCTTTTCTATTTATTCACATTCGGACGAGTTGGATTCTCCAGAATTTCAACGGACAATGGCCGCTGTTTCCTTTTCAATTTCCCGTGGATTTAGTTCAGCAATTATGAACTAATTTTCCAATTCTAGTCAAGGAGCAACGAAGGCTCTGGATTGCCTGAAAATTGTGAGATCGATTTAATTTAATCTTTTTCCTTTATTTATTGGTATTCGCATATTCCCTGGTTACAGTGCTCATGATTGTTTAATTAATTGATTGTCTTGGATCCGGATAATTAGTTAATTCGATAATCTATTGTCAATTGGGACGTTAAATCCGTAATTGTTTAATTGTCTCAAAATAGTGATAACTGGCATGATTGGATTCGTGTCAGGGGGGTACGCGGGCTAATCTAAAATAACCCTGGTAGTGTGTTATTTGGTTAGAATAGGGCTCCTCTAATACGTAAGGCAATTGGGGAATTAAATTCTATGGGCGTACCTAGGATTATTTCTCAATTAGAGCAGTGATTAACGGGCGTACCTTGATCACCGACACAGTAAGGAGGGGTTGACTGCCATCGCTTGTTTGGTAGTTATAACCTATTTATTGATGAATAGTTGGAATTGCCTTTGCTTCAATGATCAACTAGGTGAACCATTGCTGAAGTTATTCCTTGGCTAGATCCTCTGATTTTAGTAAATTGTTATTTAATTTCTAGTTGGCTATTTTATTTTTATTATTTTACTTTTAGTTGGATTGCTTAAATTGTTACCCCTGAGATAAAAACACCCCCTTTGTTACTGTGAATTTAAAAAGAAACAATTACTCCCAATCCCTGTGGATTCGACCCTGCTTACCACTATCTACAGAAATTAATTTTAGTTTGAGCAGGTTTTATTATTGCACAGGTTTCGACAACCTGTCATTGGGTAGTGTTCAATTCCTCCATCAAATTCCCTGATTCAAATGAAGCCTAAAGAAGAATTAAACAAAAAAGAACACTAAAATAAATAAATAAATGAGCACATGAAATGGATTTAGATAATGTATGAAATCAAGTTAAATCCATTTCAAAGTGATCTCATCCAAAGAAGTATCAAAATACATAGGGGTAGGGTTGGACTTGTGTCCTTATTGCTTAGTTTCCATCTCATACCCAAAAGCACATTCCGCCATTTTGTCATCTCTAGGTGCACTCATTATATGAATATATATATTTTTTCACAACTATTGCATATTTATATTTAGGCATTTTTTCCGAATTAACTTCTCTCCTATAATAAATTAATACTTGGAGACCTCTCTTAACAGCTGTCCCAGACACTTCACAAACCCTTCTTAATTTTCTTTTCAGAGTCAAGCACTCATTATGAGTTACATACTCTGTTGACCAAATATATATATATATATATATATACACACCAGAAAACTTATAGCCATCCACCGTAATTACCGTGGGGACAAAAGTTCAAATTTATCACCTTTCGGCTTCTCCACCTATTAAGAGTCGCAATTTCGTTAATACAACGGTCGAGACTAGATTCTTAAACTCCAAAGCCCAAATTAGTAGGGTATGAGCTGGTTTTTCTCAATGTTGGAAGGCTACTTAGAGCCCATTTGAATTGCGATTATCTTAAGTTTTATTATAAAAAAAATGTACTATAATAATTTGATGTATGTTAGGTAATAGAATGATAGAGAAATATGTTTTAAAAAATGTAAAAAATTTTGTATGAAAAATGACAATCCACATAATTTTCATTTTCAGCAAAGTAACGTGAAAAAAAATTCTCAAATTGCCGTAATTGTTAGAAAATCTACCTTTTCATTACCAAATAGTAATTGAGAGTTTTCTAACAAGTTATTTTATCGCCAGTGATAAGTTTTCAAATTCAAACATGGATGAAAAATAAGAGCTAATTACTTAGAATATGGATCAAAAAAAAAAAAGTCGCACGTTTATCGTTCTGACAGAGGCCAACTACAAAACTATGGGTACCGGGCAGTGTCAGTCCCGGCACCCAAAAAGATCAAAATTTTTTTCTTGACCTCTGACACTGCTTCCGGGTTGACTGCAGCCTTCTGCAAAAAACTGACTGCCGAGCCAATTTTTTTTAAAAAAATTCCAAACATTGAACGTGCCGGGCTGTTCAAGTAGAATGATACGCTTCAATGAACATGAAAAACAAATGGGGCAAAAGAAGACCTGCATTTCTGAATTCAACAAGCCACAGAATTAAAGCGGATATGAGAATGAACATAGATTACGTCTACGGTGGAAAGTTCACTTTTCTGCGCATAATAGGCAGAAGCAATGCAAGAGGCCAATTGTACTATGTGGAAATGCACAAAGAAGGATATCCGGACATCACTAGAGAAAGCGGGTTATACATGGATGAAAAATGTAATATATTTTAAAATTATAATAAAAATTATCTTAAAAATTTGTTCATCATCTAATGCCCAATACTTATATTTGATAAATTAAAATAGTTAATTAAATATTCTATTATAATATAAACAAATATATGTCATTGAGTTGATTGAATAATATTTTCTTTTTTCTTTTTTTGGCATTTGAACTAATTGTCAATTAAGTTTCAATTGAAATAAAGATTTTGAAAATTTTGTGAGTCCTTTATTTTGGTAATCACCTTTATTTATTATTATAATCATAATACCTGATCATAACCGATTGAAATTCATATCCACAAGTCGTATAACGATTTGTCCCCATACTATTTACAACTAAAGTTACTATATACTCAAATTAAAATTTTCTTTTTTCACTAAATAACCTTTTATATATGATTTATGTGTTATCATTTGTTTGTAATTAATTTAACGAAAAGATGCTCTTTAGGCTAATATGTTTTGATAATGTGGATTACTTTTAAGGATTTTAATGAGATTTAGACCACATTTTTTATGCATTCAATCTAACTCACATTTTATTTCATTTGAAATATAATTATTTAAAACATAAGGGACCAAAAAATATAAACCTTGTCAAACTTTTGACTAATTCTAACTTGATTTGACCGTTTGATATTATAGTTTTGTATTAGTTGTCTTAAATTTGGCTAAAATAAAATATTTGCTATCATAATTATTTTGGTCAAAATATCACGGATTAGTTTAACTGATAGACCAAACGTTGGGGGGACCAAAATTGCGCATGTTGCTTTTTTTTAATCATGTTTGATATCCCAACTCTTTCATTTATATTTACGCCTCAATTATTTCAAATATGAAACTCAATTTAAAATAAAATATAACCGATTCAACGTTTGGAATTTTTTTTAAAAAAAATTGGGCTGGCTGCCGGGCTGAGAGAGCCCGGCAGTTAGCTTTTTCCAGAAGGCTACCGATTGCCGGGCTGACAAATCCTGAGCCCGGCAGTCAGTTTTTTGCAGAAGGCTGCCAGGCTGACAAGTCCCGGCAGCCATCGAATTCTATGTCAGAGGTCAAAAATTTTTTTTTTTTTGTCTTTTTGGGTGTCGGGCTGATACTGCCCGGTACCCATAGTTTTGCAGTTGGCCTCTGTCAGAACCATAGACGTGCGACTTTTCTTTTTTTGATCCATATTCTGAGTAATTAGCCAAAAATAAGTGAGTGCGTTTGGATTGCTCTAATCTGAATAAATTACTGATAATGCGGCGAAGGATGTTTGGACAGGTTAAATAATCCAGCAAATGTACTCACACCTGATTTTTTTCCCAACTCTTGCCACGTAAGCATTTTTTTAGTACTTTACCTCAACACTTAATGGATGAACGGCTGAAGATTACTTCCCGTTATTTTTGTCCCTTTGTGTATGCACGTTGTGCCACAGTGCAAATCACACAAAGCTGCAGGACGCTTTACTCTTTACGAATCAACCACCCGGCAGCTTGAGCATTTACAAAACTAAAGAACAGTCGTCTCTCTCCACCAAATATCCATAGCCGTCGAAAGCATGTGCATCTGAAGTACCTTTCGCAGGCGTTGGCAAGCCTCAAGTTTTAGGACGAAGAGTTGATTTCTTCAATTCAAGGCAAAGCACCGATCAATTAACAAATTTTTAGCGAGATCGACGGATAATTTGCTAATTCGGCGAAGGAAAAAAAGGTTTTGGCAGAAAAATTCCAGCTAAATCCAAGGTATTTCCTCAATCTTTCACTTTTATTTTCTCCGCGGGTCAAGAAGCCTTCATTTTCTATAGCTGCACTGCAGGTGACCTTCTTTTAGCTTGCTGGGAAGTTACTTTTCGAAACAACTAATTTGCACCGACCCAGATTTGCATGTTTTGACCTGTTGTTATGGGCTGATGTTCTGATGAAGTATAGACCAAAAAACCTATTTTTAGATCCAAATAGTGGCGGATCTGATCATCTAGTGTAGTTGTATTAAGTTGGTCATTTATGACCTGTTAATTGTTGATGCCTTAAAAATTCTGGATATAATTTAAATTGTTTAACTTGTTTGAATGTGGATCGTGGTACTAGAGTTTTTTCATATTTCTCTGAAGTTCATCAGTTAGCAACAAAATAATTGGATCTAACAAAAGATCCGCTATTCATAATTGTTACGCAAAGCAATTAACCAACAATTACATATCAACGGATTTGACATTGTAGTGCATTTTTTCGTTTTGCACCAGGAAAGAAAAAACAATCCGAAGTAGGCCATATCTGAACTTATTTCTGTGTTTTGGCTGCCAGATTTTCAAATTAGTTGAATCAACTGGATAGAATCTTATCTGATATTATGTGGATAAAACTAATAATTTATTTCAGTACCAATGGCTGTTTCACTAGTAGTTCCCCATGTTAGAATTTCTGCTTAAAAACAAATACCTATTAAGTGGCATATGGTGGTATTAGGATTTTGATTGCCAGTGGTACATGTTACACATCAATGGGAGTGGCTCTAGTTTATTATGCTCAGTTTTTTCCTAAGAGAATGGAGAGGCTAGGTCGTAAATTCTATCTCTGGTTGTGGCGGATATTTTTTTAATTTTTTTGTATACTGCTGCTCTGTTTTTTATCTCCAAACGGCTCAAGATTGCTTGGTTGTCTAATAGAGAGTTTATAAATTGCACGCTACTCTGTGGTAGCATGGGTGTCCGATTATTTATCCTGTACAATATTTATTTATCCTGTAAATGGGTGTGATTGGCATGGGTGTCTGAGGGGTCATCTCTATTTGCATGCAGCCAGGGAACGAATATCAACAGAAATTAAGAGACTTGAAAGATCCCGTTTTTAGATCCATAGGTCTGGAAATGTATATGTAGCGAGATGGAACGGTTTGTTATTATTTCTGCACAAATATTTGTTCCAGGTCATTGAAGCTAAAATTGCTTAAAAGTTAATTGAAATTGAAGAGGCACTAAGTTATTATTTTGTTGCTTAGAAATGAGACTGTTGTAGCATCTGTTAAAATGCATTCATTCATTTCCGCTTACACTCAGAACGAAAAATGAAAATAAATGGACTTATGAAAATAAATTTCCTTTGCTGTATTCATTCTTTAGCTTGAACGGATACTTGGTGTGGACTTTGTTCAAAAGTGGGCTCAGTAGTAAAAGTAAAAAAAAAATGACATCTGCTGCACCTGTTTTGGATATAGGTATTGCAATTTGCGTTGCTATGTGTTCGATTGGCTCAATACAGCGCTCATTCAACCAATGACCGCAGCTAAAAAAAAAATTGACTCCCATTGTAAGTCCCTCTAACCTTTATAAGTATCAAATATTCGTACCAATCGTGTATAACTGAAATCAATTCTTGTATTTGTAGCCTCTCCTACTAGCTGCACATCCTTTGAGTCTTCCAGCTCATCCATCGCTTCAAATAACTATCAACTGTGTATGGAGAACTACAATCAACATGTAAACCACGTTTGCCCTTAACACTACTACTATTCTATTTACTAATTTTTGGGGCAGAATTAGTCACATTTACCTGCCATGTTTTAACTTTTAATGGCAAAATTTGTGCGCTTATATGTAGCAGATGAACGAGAAGTTGCAGTGGACTTCTACCATGGACTTCAACTTCATCACCACCTATGTTGAGTGGAAGCAAACGAAGAAATGGGACAATCACAAGACAAATGACCAGAATTATGATATGCTTGCCACATGTTTGCGGGAACAATTTGAGATGCAAGTCACCGGAGGCCAATGCCAATCAAGAATGTATAGGTTTAGGAAGAAGTGGAACGTGTTTGCCAATTTTCGTGGTTTGTCATCGAAAGCGGAGACTGGGATTGGCTGGGATGAAGAGAATAACTGCTTTACGGCTTCCGACGAGCACTGGGCCCAAATGGAAGCGGTAATATTTTATTGAAATACCTGCTGCTTATTCTTTTTTTTTTTTTTTGTGCCCAACTTGCTGCCATACTAATAGCTATGCAGACTAGTGTTGAGCCGAAGTGTATACCAAAAACACTTAATCAATTTTTAGATGATGGCAGTTAATAATCAAACCAGGTTTATTGCTTTCACCAACCACTTTCAGCGTGTTGTATCGTTGCGTTTTTTTTAACATAAGCATATTATTTGAGAAAGCTTCTATCATATTACAGGGCCGTACATTCCTCCTACTTCTCATAAATTTAAATGTTGGAGGAGAACTAACTTTTTTGTTTTGCATTGTCTAGGTGAACAAAGAGTACAAAGACTTCAAATTGGCTGGAAGTTGCTTCCTATATGATCTGTATACTCCAACAACATTGGGAAAAACTGCAACAGGCAGCTATGCACAATCTGCAAAGCAACCTGTCCCCGAGGGCGAACACCGACGGCCAGTTGTTGGAAAGCCACAAAACAGCAAAGGAAAGGCTGCAGCCTCAAGTTCAGCTGCCTCTGGCTACCAGCAGTACCCTTGGGAGGGAGAGGACGTATACTACGTACCTCCGGTACCTGGAGCGGCATCTGGAAAGCGTCCTGCCTCAAGTCTTGGCACTCCCGGAGATCGTGAGGGATCTAGAGGTGCTAAATCAACAAGATCATCTAGTGATAGGGAAAGACTAGATGATGCAATCAGCAAAATCTCTCGCGTCACCACCGCTTCGCTTGAATTTAATCAAAGTCGGTATGAAGAGGAAGCAGAATACAGTGTACCGGTAGTTCAAGACATGGTGAAAAATATGCAACTTCCAAAATCGGTTAAGCTGAAAGCGACAATGTACTTTGCCGAAAGAAGAAATGCGGGACAAAGATGTGCATTCGTACGCTTTGATGACGCCAAGCGCTATGATTACATTGAACTCATTATGGAGGAGCTTCGCTATGGCAAGCCCCCGCAGTGAAGCATCAGATCTGTGCACAACGGCTTCTGTGTATTTCCTTTGTCAGCTTGTGTCAATTTCCTTTGTTTGCTTGAAATTTCTGGAATGGTGGCTGAACTTTACTTAGCTTCTGTATCGGTTGCTTCTTTATTATGTGTTCTGGACTGCAATTCCTAGACTTGTGTCTTGAGATGTAGCATTTGTTAAAAACAAATGAGTGTACTTTCTTGAATGAGTGTATGTTGAGCGTATTTATTTGGTTATTCAAAATGCGGTCATTATAGAATTAATGGGTGGCAGTGGACTATCCTATTATGTATTTACAATTGAGTGTACTTATGGGGTGGCTGCCGACAGCTTGTTGAACTTTTATAAATGGGTGGCATCAGGCTTGTAGCCACCAATTTTCTGTACAGGTTTTTCGTAAAGAATGAACGGCCACTTGTTGTGTATTATTGCAGGTGCTTGAGTGAATTGTGAAATTGGTAAATGAATAGTGACGTGGCTTATGTTTGCTTGGTCTTTATAAAGGGGACATGGGAAGGATTTGTGTAATCCCAAAAGTACGGTTGCAAGTGTTAGGACATTTCAAGGCTAGATATCGTACAATTGCACCAAAAGTCCCACACCTTCTCAATTTTAACTTCAATTTATTGTGAGAATTCGAGGTTCTTGATTTGTATCTGATTTTTATTCACTATTTTTAGGTCTGACTGATTGCTGGATACTTGCTAGTTCCCACAAAAAAAAAAAGAAGCATTAGTTTCTGTTTCTGAAAAGTTCTTCCCTTTCTGTTCCCAGCTGCAAGATCCCTACTAGGCTACTACAAGAAGATATAAGTTGGTATATCTATTTTTGCACACTCTCCCTGTCTGTTTGCTTAGCATATCTAAGGGGGCGCTTGGTTCAAGCTTAGGAATTGGAATTGTAATTGGAATCATAGACTCTGGTTTTGGAATTAAAACTTTTCATTCCAATATCTTGCTTGGTTCACACATTGGACTTAGCATTATTCCAATTCCTGATACTTGGTTTGATGAGTGTTTCGGAATTAAATGCAATTAAATTCCAAATTTACCCCTGATATAACAATTCTTCTAAAACAAAAGAATTACACATACGACAAATTAACATTTTCATAATTGTAACTACAATAGTGATTAACTTTTTGATAAAACATAAGAAAATCATAAATAATAAAAAAATTAATACCAGAAAATAAATATAGTGGCTGCATTAGTAAGGAGTAAATTCCCAAAAAAAGGAGTTTTTAAACAATCACCCAAAAGGTGACGATTTTTTAGTCTCTTCCCAAAGGGTGAAAAATGCATCCAAGGAATGTGTTCTTCCAAATAAAAACGCAACTTTCAAATACGTTATTTTATGTTTTGAAAATTTGTTTAAATATGAAAAATTGGTTAAATAGCCCATAAGATACCAGCTCTTTATGGGAAACTGGCAGGTTTTGTATCAGCTTTATGGAAACAATTGATTAAATAGTGCCCAAAGGAAAACTAGTATGTTTTGTATTTAACATAAATTAAATATGTGAGAGTTAAAAAAAAAAAATTGCCCATAAGATACCAGCTCTTTAAGGGAAACTGGCAGGTTTTGTAGTATGTTTTGTACCAACTCTTTATGGAAAACATACCAACTCTTTATGAAAAAAATTGATTAAATAGCGCCCAAAGGAAAACTAGTATGTTTTGTATTTAACATAAATTAAATATGTGAAAGTTAAAAAAAAAAAAAGAAATTACTTATAAGATACCAGCTCTTTATGGGAAACTAGTAGGTTTTGTATTTAATACGCTATTTAACCAATTTTTTATATTTAAACAAATTTACGAAAATTAAAATAACGTATTTGAAAGTTGCATTTTTATTTGGAAGAACGCATTTCTTGAATGTGTTTTTCACCCTTTGGGAAGAGACTAAAAAATTAAGGTGTTCCACAAATTAACTACAACTCCTGATCAAATCCTGTCTGGGAATCATGAGTGCTTTTTCTTAAAGCACTCAAGGTACGAACCTCAACTTAAAATGGCAATGTACATTAGTTTGTCTTTTATCTTAAAGCACTCAAGCTACGTACCAAAAGTCCCACGCATGTAAAGCACTAGTGTTTTGTCTATTCTACAAAATTCAATGTAGTCACGATAGAGAGTCAGGAATATATACACATTGGGAAAAAAAAAAGCACTACTGTTTTGTCTATTCTACAAAATTCAATGTAGTCACCATAGAGAATCAGGAATATATACACATTGGGGGAAAAGAGCCGACAACCTGTACAATGATAGCAAAAGCAGCCTGGTGGGAGTGGTCATATCTGGTAAGCTTTGGCATGTGAAACAATTGTCCAAAGGAATGACACCAACGGCCAAAAGTTGGAACGGTGGCATATTTTGTCAACAAGGGCCCGGGTACAAGAACAATAATGCGCCCGTGCTTTGAAAAGATAGCAAGTCTCTAGAGCTCTATATGTTAACAAGAGCCCGTGTCTATGCATATCATACATTACAATTGTCTACTTTGGGGGAAAGCAGCAAGAAGCACTCTACTGCTTTGAAGACAAAGCTGCCGTTCGTCGAACGACATAACAGAACGCCCGTGAGTAGAAGGTTTAAGTATCGGCTCTCAGTTTTTTTTTAATAAAAGCTCCCTTGTTCAGTTCTTGCTTAACTCCGTTGTTGTAATATTCGAAGGAGAAAGCCCACTTGGTGTAACTATATACTCTCTTGCTGTGTATTTACTCCAGGAGATATGAATCGCTTCCGAAATAGTAGTTCAAGCAATGACGAACCATCAGATGATGACCAGGATGCCTTGCTACTTGGACTTGCAGCTGAGTTGATACTTCTACATCCGGAGGCAGAAAGGTATGGAGGTCCGAAACTCAAAATTTCACACCATGATGGCTTACTCACAGGGCGTCAATGGGTTGAGGAGTTGATCAATGGTCACTACAGACGAATTATCGAAAATTGTCGTATTTCGGTTGACAATTTCCTCCTACTTTGTGACATACTAAAGAACAATAATTACGTACCTCAAAACTATCAAAAACGAGTGGAAATTGAGGAGGCACTGGCCATGGCTTTGGTAATGGTAAGTCATAGTGCCCGACAACGAGTTTTGGCAGAGCGTTTCAATAGATCAACGGAGACAATTAACCGCAATGTAAGGGAGGTCCTGCGCGGTCTTTGTATGTTTGCTTCACAAATAATTCGCCCTTTTGACTACGATCAGGTGCATCCAAGGATCGGGAATTCGACAAAATACTACCCGTGGTTCAAGGTTAAGCTGTGAATGATCTAAATTCAAAATGACAAATTTTGGCAGTGATCTTCCATCTGAAAACTCTTATTATGCAGGATGCAGTGGGAGCAATTGATGGCACTCACATTCCGGCGTGCCCACCCTCAGGTCATCAAATGGCGTATACAAATCGACATGGATTTCAGTCGCAAAATCTACTGGCAGTATGTGATTTCGATATGCGATTCACGTACATCTATGCTGGGTGGGAGGGAAGTGCACACGATGCCCGAGTGTTAGATGATGCTCTGTCACACCCGTCAGACTTCCCAATGGCACCTGAAGGTAACTCTCTTGTATTATATTTGCTGCACCTATTTAAGTATATGCTACTTTTTGGATGGTGTACATAAATCATTTACTACACTTTTGTCACACATAAGTCCATAAAATAGTGGATTTATTTTTTTGGCTTGTGCTATTAACAACTACTTACGAATGTAACATTTTTGAAAAGTAATTTTAGAACTTTAAAAAAATTCCGGATATTTCAGTAAGACGATAATTTTTTCAATTATAAATCTCTGTTTGTTCTATTTAAATTAGCTGGATTTTAAACAAGGTAGTATATTTTTTAGTGGTATTTTATTGGTCAACATATAGTACTATAAAGTTGAAGCAATAAAAGGTAAACTGCCATCATAAAACTGACACCTGTCGTTTTTCGATTTAAGGTAAATACTACCTTGTAGATGCTGCATATAAGAATGTTCCAGGCTTTTTACCGCCGTATAAGAATGCAGCACGGGCCGGTCCAGAAAAAATTTTATTTAATACGCGCCACTCGGAACTTAGAAATGTCATTGAACGAACCTTTGGAGTTCTGAAGAACAGATTTAAATTTTTGAAGGGACCGGTTCCAAATTTTTATATGACCACTCAAGTCAATGTTGTTATAGCTTGTTGTGCATTGCACAACTTTCTTCGCTTACACCAACCAGGTGACGCCCATTTTCAACTGGCTAAGGACGGCAATGTTGGATTAGAGCACCAACAGGGTGGCGGTGAGTTACCTCACGTGCAGCCATTGAATGCATCCCGAGCTGAGGTTATGGCTTGGAAAGCTAGGCGAGATGCGATTGCAACTGAAATGTATGGCGCGCAACGTAGGAGAAGGCGTTAGAAAGTCAGGGGCATAATTTGGACCGGCGTAATACTAAATAATGGCTGCACCGGGGCCGCTCTAGTTGCATTTCTGTTTTTTGCAAGGGAAATGGGTGGTTGCCAAGCTTTTATTGAGGGTATAACGAATAAGCTTCCATTCCTAGATATAGAAGTTTCGGAAGTTCCATGTAATATTTGATAAGATGTGTGTGGTTTGTATTGTATTAATCTGCTTTTATCCTAAATTGAAAGTTTATTTATAAACAATTTACTTAATGTGCTCCAAAATGAATGGAATGAGTTCCCATTGCACTCAAATAATTGTTAAGCTATCCAAACACTTATTTGGAATAAATTCGACAAATAATTGTTAAAGTGTCCAAACACCTATTTGAAATATACTCATGTTATCCAAACGATTATCTTTCACCCATACTTTTCAAAAAGTCAACAAATAAATATTTGCACAATTATTCCAAATAATCCACTATCCAAACGCACTCAGTATTTCTTGCAAGGACATTAAACTCCAAGTCACACACACACACATATATATGTATCAGCCCGGCACCCATAGTTTTGCAGTTGGCCTCTGTCAGAACCATAGACGTGCGACTTTTCTTTTTTTGATCCATATTCTGAGTAATTAGCCAAAAATAAGTATTTCTTGCAAGGACATTAAACTCCAAGTCACACACACACACATATATATATATACTATGGAGGGACAGCCCGCGCGACGCGCGGGAATTTAGTGCTTGTGATTCAAGATAATTAATAATTATTGTTTAATATTTTGTAGTATAGGAACTGAAATATGATGATTTTATCATGTGATTTTAATAGAAAAATCATAACTTACATAGTGAGTCAATAAAAATAATGTGCAATGAGACATCCTTATCGTTATACTATATAAGAATCCGTTGTGATCAAAGGTTATGTTTGAATTTCAACTGCAAAGATAAGGGTAGTTTGAAAATGTAAGAATGTTTGAAGTGCAATTAAAAAGTATCCAAAGGTCTCTTCTAAAACTTATCCAAGATGATAAAATATTTTAAAGTATCAATTGGACCCTTCATCTTTCGAATCTATATATGTTCGTGAAAGATCCCTCAAGCAATGCTTCTGATTTCTCCCTCGACTTAACCTCAACCTGAATTATCAAGTCAAGTTTATCCATCAATCACTTTGCGTCCAATCTAATCTAAAATAATTTTATTTTTGAGTAACTATTTATATAATTTGGTGGGTATAATACGACTTAATCACATGTTTCTTACAGAGATAATAATGCCCAAAAATGATAAATAGATAAGAAACTTAAGTGGTCTTTTTCAAAATTTTGTAGAAACTATTCAGATTTGGTGTTTTTTGCTTGGGGCATTTCTTTATAATCTTATAAATAAGTTCAAATCTGCATAATTGTTAAAGATCTGAATTGAAACTATATTGATTATAAAAAATTGGTGCAAATAATATTTTCTAAATTTGAAATTGTAGAAAATGGTAACTAAAATCAAAAGAAATTTCTCATATGAATTCGAATTGCAAACTATAGATAGAAACTGCTTAATGATATTTTTTCAATGTTTACTTGTATAAGTATTCAATATAACATCTCTACTTAATTGACTTGTTTGAACTATGGATAATAGTTGCTTCAATCAAATTAAGAAACATTATTTATCATTGTACAACATACAATTATGAGTAAATGAATTAATACAATGCAATAAAAATGGTAGTGTAGCTAAAGCATTTAAACTCATCAAGTTCCACTACAATTTCTTTTAGATAGCATAAAAAATAAATTTTTTGTATTTGAAACTATATAAACAGTATAATACAAGAACGAGATCATAACATGGAAAGCAAATAGAGTGCAAATGACATCTTAGTACTATGTAGCATGATTAATTTTCTTTTTTAGTTTCAATGAAGTACAAAATTCTAAGTTAATAAATTTTACAATCATAAAATTCCCAATTAAAATAAACACAAGCTAAATTTCAAATCATATTACATGAAAAAATAACTACTTGAACCATAATTGTTGGAATGTAGTCAATAGATCCCTGGAGTCAAGAATAATAGGAGAAAGTTCATGAAAAATAAGGTTATTTGACTTAAATAAAGAGATAATACCTTGGTTGAGAGGGAGAATATGATAAAATTGCTTTTCTGATTATTTTAGAAAGTGACAACATTATCTCAAATTGTACTTTGACCAGAAATAGAATCTCTGGGATCTACTAAGAAAAACAATACAATTAGTCAGTTTTTGAAATTAGAAGTATCAAAAGGCAAACTATATGGAGTTCTTGAATAAATCAATCATCAGAAAAAAAAACTACAATCGAAGAAGACAAACCCAAAGAACTCACCTCAATTTAAAGGAAAAGTTATGAATTCCACCAAATATTTAATAGCCATAATAAAATTAAAGAGGTGAAACCAAAAAAGAAGAAAGGGTATCAGCTAAACATGGGGACATAAATATGATAATTGATTATTCAGATAATAATAAAGTTAATTAATTTTAATTAAAATTCAATTATGTAAACATCCAATTAATTCCTTAACGGATGAGAAAGGTTTCAGGAAATTGGAAGGCTTGGATGTTAGTATAACAAATGATTAAAAGGACTTTTATGTAATTCTATCAAAATACAAGTTTTATTCAGTTGTACTTGATATTCAACTTGGTACCAAATATTGTAACATACCAAACATGCCCCTAACCTTAAATGTCTGAAAGGTTATATAAGTAATTATAGTGAAATTAAATCTATAATGACTTGTACTCAATGTTCTAATAACTCTTCAAACACTCTCACATTCCCAAAATAGCCTCACCCCTACGGTTGAAATCTACTCCTAAACTCGTTCTTATAGTACTAGGAGGCAATAACGCGCTTCGCGCGATAGTAATGTAAAATGCCCATTCCATTTCTGAAGTAAGAAAAATAACATTTTATTTAGAAATATACATTTTTTAGTATATATATACCATGAGTCTGAAGGTTTGTTGATATTTCTTGGCTACGAACTTTCATGGAAGTTGCTAAATTTCTAAATTTAATGGAAGTGCTTTGGAACTTCCAAAGCCTGAATTTCTAAATTTGCTAAACTTTGCTAAACTTCCAAAGTCTGAAATGCAAATTTAAATTTCTAAATTTTTAATAGGAACTTCCAAACTCTGAAGTTTTGTTAATGCAAATTTAATGGAGCATTTTTCTAAATTTAATATATACCAGCCATTTGTTTTTTGTAACCAAAGGTAGGATCAACTTTATTGCTAAACATCAAAGTTTAATAAGTAATGCCGTTGGAACATCCATTATGAAAGCTTCAATTGTTGTTTACAACAGTAGGAACTTGCTAAACATTAAATTTGCAGTGCTTTGGAAGCATTTTTCTAACCAGAACTTTTTTCCATTAAGAACATAAATACAACAAATGCCGTGCATTGCGTTGAAGCAGAATCAGCGTAAATCAGATGTGCCATCAAATGAAAAATGCAAACTGCCATAGAAACAACTTCTCTATTCCTTTGTGGTCAAACACCAGCACAGCAAAGGGAGTCTTGGATTGTGGAATAAAAAGCAATATCTGGCCATTTTTTAGATCATGATCAATAACAAAACGGTTCCAGTTTTGATCAAAACATCTGCCGGTCATACCAACATGAAAATATTTATGACTATTTGTAAGAGTTATAGTCGTCGTACTATCTTCATTTAGCCTTAGATTCGCAAATTCTGGCAGATCCTATAAATGTATGAAAAAAAATTGTGATAAGTAAATACACATATGTACAAAAGAAAGAGAGTTAATAAGGTTAGAGAATGCAAAACTATACCAGCTTGTACTTGTACTTTGATAGATAAAATTGATAGAAGCAATTGAATGTAGTCCAGTCATGTTTTAGGAATGGATTCATAGATGAGACAATACGATGGAGAACTGATTCTGAGGTTTCATGATTTGTTTATAAAGTAACAAAAGAAACCATATCAGCCATAATAAATACCGTCTAAGCAAAAAATATATATATAATGGTAGTAATAAATACCGGATTCTAGGACCTCATGAATTGTCCTTAGTCCTTGTAAGGAAGTAATGGTAGTAAAACAATCCTTTCATCATGGCTGTTGCTCGTCTTCTCAGCGAATTTTCGTCTTTGGAGGCCAGAGAAGCTTGAAATATACAAAGTGAAATTCAATAAGACACTTCACACTAAAAATGACATTACTTGTTTTGTATATAAGAATGACATTAATTGTTTTGTATATAAGAAGTCATTTTGTTTTAGACACATTAACAATTATGATATACCCAATATTTTTATAGGTTATTATACAAACGTCATAAAAAGAAAACCAAGACCTAAATTGTGGAACTGATTATAAATTAATTACTGTGGAAAGTATATTTAAACTATTAATCTAATCTAGGATGAACACAAAAAAATGAAAAAGTAATGTGCAAAAAAAAGGTGGTCAAAGAATTGAACTTATTTCAGAAATAATGAACCAAATAAAGAATCAATCTTAGGAAAGCTGTATGGTCTCGTCTTACATTAATTTCAACTTTGTTCTCTATATGATTTCTTGATTCTTTACCCCAAAGTCTTTTTCTCCCATCAAGAATGCTTCAGAAATTATATGATCAATACATACCTAGCTATTACAGAATGGCAACAAACTGAAATGGCAACAACCTAGCTATTACAAAATTTCTGTGCTTGAGTCCTCTAACAACTATAACTACATAATACACATTAACTAAAAAACATCCAATGAAACTGCACTCATAATCAAACGACAATGCCTAACATAGGACAGCAGATTCCTTCCTCTTTACTGCTTAGCCACATGAGCAGTCAGTTCAGCATTCTGCAGCAAAAAATCAGAAGCATTCAAAATCATTCAAAATAACCAATGAATTCCTAGTCTGCACACACTATTTATTCAGTCAAAAGCATTCAAAATCATTCAAGAAGAATAAGTGTAATCATTCAAAACAGTACTCACACAAGTAACTTATGAAGATGCCTTTATACACAACGCACCGAAGCAAAAGTAACATCTCGCAGAAAGAACCAAACACAGAAGAACATCATTTACAGGATATAAAACAGCATTTGTCAAAGTCTGAAACAAAAAAGAAATCTCTAATACAATTCATCTTGCTTTAGCATTCCAATTGATCACTTTCAGAAAAATGAGCTAAAGTAATAAATTTCCACGAACAATAGAATAAGTTAGTATAACAAAGAAATCATAATCTCAAATTCAGAGGCAAAAAACAAAAAAAAAAAAAAGAACCCTTGTTTTGACAAATATAACAAGTATGATAAAAAACTGACAAATGTCGTCATGGAGCGGAAGACATTTCAAATTCAGTTAAGGAAAAATAACTGATACAGCCTTTTTTTATTGTTTCCATCCCACACATCAACATAACCATCACAACCTCAAGTAGCAAATGTACCATAGCTACAAATCAAAATCAGTTTTGAGACAGATTTTGGCAAAAAGCTCAAGGTATTCAATCAATAGATAATTGTAATAGATCCAACTCAATCACTCAATATATCTAGAGTTGATAAATCAAGCACATAGGCTTATAAATCATTCATAGATACATTGACATTATAAATCATTCTCTTTTGTTTGTTCCATTCCAACTCAATCATTGACATAGCTACCTTAAGAATACATGGATCGGCTCCACTTATCAAGTTCAAAAAAACAGATGTTTCCTAAAGACGCATAGTTATGATGAGAAGCTTGAAGGTCATGATTGCCTGGGGAATATCTAGAGTTGAAAATTGGAAATCAGGAAAGATAAATTCAGGTTCGATCGCTTATTCGTAAGCTGTTAAAGTTTTGAACTGTCCCCATAATTGATTGTTTTTGCCTTGTTTCTGCAATTATCTCTCATATTTGTTTACAGTAAGCACCATCACATCAAGTAAAGAACACTTCTCTTGCACCCTATATCAATCTGACATGATTCCATCTGGTACTGAGACTACCAAAACCCAAGCTCGTAGCCCAAAGAACCTACAACACTTTGTTCACCATAGCTGAAGACATACTTGGAACAACTAAGGTACCATATACTTTCTTTTTTTTTCAGTGCATAGGCAGACACAAACATATAGAGTTATAATAAATCACACACACCTCAAACAAAAGAGAAATGAATTCTTTCATATCTTGATAAACACTTCAAATGTATACTAATCCTATGTACAACCAAGTAAAATGACATTGATATGGTATGAAGAGACATAAACATCAGCTTGCATGTACACTTCAGAACCAAGATTGATCAATGTCCTCAGACTGGTTACACTATTTTTCTCCAATGTCTCTATATTTCTTTTCCAATCAGAGCTACAAGAAGTTAAGAGAAAAAAAAAGTAAAGAAGCATTGCAGGTCAAAGGGAACTTGTGCAAAGAAGTAGGAGTCAGAGCAATAAAGGTGAGTAGTATCAATACCCAAATGCAAGAAAACTTAAAAGGATACAAAACTTTCTGTTGTTCAAATACCTCGTTCCTGCAAAAGAGATACCCAGAATATTAGAAATTTGGCATATAACAGAAATTCCGTCTCCAAATTCGCAACTTAATAGTGAAATATTAAACAGAAAGTAGGTAAGTACTCCAACTCATATAATCCCACTGCTGATGGTAATAAGCTCAATAAAGTGGTAACAGGGGATGGTTCTCCAAATAACAACTGTAAGCGGGTGAGTTCAGTATGAGGCAACCAACGGATTCCCACCCACACCTCTCCGCCTCAAGAAAATAGAAAAGGGAAAAAAGGGCGAAAAAAAACAGAAGGAAAAGAAAAAAGAAAGAAAAGGAAATGAATATTGGCAATATGGGAGTCAAATGAAGCAAAGTCTAATCTATTTATACACAAAAAAGGATCACTCTCTTCCAGTTTCAGATCGTTAGTTTTCACTACTACAGGAAGTTCAGCTACCGCCCGCTAGAAGCTAAAAAAAAAAAAAATTTAAAGACATCGAGTGAGAGAATTGGGCTCCAAAACACCCTTCCGTACAATGATACAAAGATGGAAAAAGGACAAAAGAAAATGAAGAAAGTTACAGGTAATAACCAGAAATTAGCTAATTCAAAGTCCTCCCAAACTGTTCAATATATTTCTTATCTGCATTGGCTAGGCGATCTTGAAACTGCACCCACTCACTTCTGCACCTCTCTCTTACCTACCAAATTAGATAGAAAAGAATTCAAGCTAGTTACTTGATGTTTGGACAAATCTAATGAAATTCAGTTCAATGCAAAATCATGCAATTCAAACAGAGTGTAGATATAAGACCTATGAATCCTAATTTAAACATGATTGTTAGAATGTAGGTGATATAGAATAACTCAGATTACCATAAAATTGGATGAAGAAGCTTTCAGAGTTGACTTTTGCAAAAAAAAACGAAGGACAAAGAAAAGGCCTCAATAAAAAAATATACAGAAAGGTTGAAATGGAAACCGAACAAGTAACAGCTTACATACCCCTTGCCAAGGAGCTTTTCCATTTTCAGATTGACCCTGGAATCAACGAAGCTGAAGCTGTTAGCATCATTATCAACAAAACAAATCTAAATGAGGGGAAACCAGATCAAGGGACAAGTAGGATAACTGACGTGGAAGAAAAAAATGTAAATAAGGGGGTTGCTGCTAAAAAGTTGCTTATATTATAAATGAAGAACCATTTGCTCAAAAATGGAAATTAAAGTTGAACAGAACAACATTTGCAAACAACTAAACTTCATTATTTTAATCACCTCTAGGAAAAGGAAAAACAAGTCCCGATGGTTGTAATAAAGTAGTTAACTGACCTGACTTCCCAGAGAAGGAATAACTTGATGAACTATCCACTGAGAGTCAACCACATCAATTTTCTCATGTGCAGGCTGCACAGGCAAAATACACTTACAATGAAACTGATAATACGCAGACATCCATTTGAAATAAATACATGTTTTCCAATTTTATCTGTTTTACATGCCACTGTCCCACAGATCTCTCCTTCCAACAGGAATATGAAAAGCAGGTAGACAAGCCTTCTTTTCTAAATCTTTCAAATAATACAGTGATAAGAAACAAATAAAACGACTGACCTCCACACATCTCCTTAGCGCAAAATCCAATCCCCAACCATGCACCAAATCATTCTAGAAATGTTATTGAAAGTAAAAAATCAGTGTGAGCTCTAAGCTGGAAAGAACCAAGGCTAATGAGAGCAGCTAAAAGCAAAAATAGTTGGAGGTACAACAAGGCTTAAAACATACGTATACAAATGACAAAGTTAGAGAAGGGAACCTGAATCATATGCCAAACACATCGCCAAGCATCCCGCGAGAAAACAGGAGCCACAATTTCCACAAAGCTGAATTCAAAAAGGAAAAACACAAGGGAAAATTAGTTGAAGGTAAATGTTGAAGCCACCCCAATCCTTTATACTTTTCTTAACTATATATCTCCATTTTAAGGGCCTGAGCATAAATCATGGGTCATAACTCAACCTACAAACACTACCATAAAATCAAATTTTTCAACAATAAGACGTGATATTGCTATGAGATGTCTTGTGGCTAAGCTCTTCTATTTGGCAATGGTCAACCTGATGAAGAAATATGACCATCAGAGAAAGTGAGCTTCTTGTTTCTGACAATTTCAACTTCCAAGCCATGTAAATAAACAATAGTTGCCCAAGACAACATTTTTGTTGTTTTTCAGTTTAATATTATTATTTTCTTGGGTTAAAGAGATTGACCTTCGGAAAACCAAACAATCAATCTCTGGAAAATTTAAATCTTTGGAAAACCAAACAATCACTCGGAAGAGAAAAAACAAATCCTTTTCAGGTTTGGATTATAAGAAAATAAAAACAAGAAAAACAAACTGCATGGCTCCCAAATTGCCACTCAGTCAATCAAAAGAA